GGCATATCCCAGGCAGACATTCCAGATGAAAAATAATTAGCCAGACTGGAATATGTGGCAATTATCCAAAATGGTACTTAGATTTCTGCTCTGAGAAATGTGATGAAACCCTTAATGACGTCAAGCAGGAAGGGGAACGGAGAGACAAGGGTTTGAAGCTGTTTTCATTATGAAAACTGACAGCTCTTGTTTAGAATTTCACCCCCAACTGCCAGAGAGATTAATAGTTTTCTTTCAAAGGTACATTTTTATAAGATATTATGTTTTCCTCTGAAAGCTGAATAGCTCCATTCAGAAACATTTGTTGTTGTCAGATGCTGCCTAACTGGGCTGAGAGCCTACTGTAGCTCTGCAGATCTGTGACCTGCACTTCACTCCCTCCAGGCACTATAAATAATTTCCATGGAAACAGCCCTGAAGAAGATATCTGCAAGCCAGGAAGATATCTATAGCCTTTCTCTTAGATTTATGTCTTTTATTTTTCCCTCTCCATTTTCTCAGTTAAACCAACATTAAATACATTCATTTTATAAAATGCTTTACACACACAGCTAAAGTTATAAAAGAAATGAAAGATACAGCAGGGGGAAATCTGTAGGAGATTCCTACTCCACAATATGTATCTACCTATTTATGGATTATCTTCACACCCTCCATTCCCATTTGCCCCAAGGAAAAATGACATTGCACCTACACTGCACCATTTTCCACCCAAGGAAGAATTCTCCCTCAGTCATCAGGGCTGCAGGTAATCATCTGTGTAAGGTATTTCATGAAGATTGTTCTAATTCGCAGCCTGATGAGGCAGAGAAGAGAAGCAGATCCATGTGAAATCAAAGCTGAAGGGCTCTGAAACAGCCTCGTCAGACCATGAAGGGAGGAAATGAACACAGGGCAATGCACTGCAGTCTAGCCAAGCCCAAATCTGAAGCTTGTCAGGCCTGTATGTCAATTTAACATACAGTGAAAATGAGCTTTCCAGCCACTTCTCCTTCAGCAATGGAAAGAGAATGTTCAATGTAGTAAAGATAATCTGAATATCTACCAAATCCTGTTCTGTCATGATCCCCCAGTTAATGACAGTGCATATATACTGGAGGTGTACTCCCTCTTTCTTCTGGCCCTAGGAATACCATGGCTTTTAGCCCTCTCTGCGAACTGTACTGCTGGTATTGCTTTCATTGTCCACTGAAGCTGCAGATGACCAGTCCAAAGTTTTAAGAGTTTCCTTACTCACTCTACAGGTATGAGGAGAAACAGAGATTGCCTTTTCTGGGCTTGTACAACCTGGCTGGAGTTCAGGGGACAAAGGAAGCCAGTCAAAGCATCAGAATAAAGCTCAAACACAAAGCACCTAAGGAAAAGCAACTGTAGTCACTGCTTCATTTCTTTTCAGTATAACAAGAGTTGTCACTGAGCATAATTTACTATTTAAGTAATTATTCTTAGCTGCACTACAAGAAACTTTTGCAGCTCCTTCTCCCCTCTGTGAGCCTCCCGTAGGATCTAGTTTACCCTAACATAAGCTTTGAGCACTAAGAGAGTTTTCTTCACTAAAACACAGCAGATTCCACACCATCCTTTATATTTTTGCCTGTATTTTATGATCCAAAACACTTCTCTTAGTACATTCAGTACTATTAGAAATAGAGTTCATAGTAGTGTCAACACTAGCATTAAAAATGACAACTTGGGCTTCCTCAATCCTCAATGCTCTAAAGCAGACTTCTTTAAGAAAAGGTTGCCTATCAGTACATAAGCCATTAGCTATACACTTCTTTTAAGGCTTCTGTTTATACTAGACATGTCAGAAAAATCCTTGAGAAGCCAAGACTTTCTTGGCATTTTTTCATCCAAAAAGTTTAGGAAAACATCAATTAGAAGCTAATTTTTCGCAAGATGTTTGTATTTACATCTGTTCCTATAGCTACTGAAATCCAGAGTGCTGCTCAACTTGTGTTTGACAGGTTTGAGGTCCAACAGTTAAAAGAACAAGAGTACCAAGATATTCTGAAGGTGCCTTTTCTTTTCAGATTGTTCTCCGATCCCAACTCTACCTGTTATAATTCACGCTGTAACTACTTCAGATACAACCCATGTATTTAACATCAACATTACTTATCTGTGCCATCTTACCACTATAAAACGAGTATCTCATAATAATTACCCATCTTCTTTCTCAGAATGATTAAGAAGATTAATTCATTAATGTTTGTAGCACTCCTGGGACTCTCAAATGAAAAAGTGGTACATGGATGAAGGGCTTTGAATTTTGAATTCACCATCATAATCACAATTAAATAAAGGAGAACTTTCATGCTGTTACTCTCAGATTCTCTTTTTTTCAGTTCGCTATTTTATTTTTTCCTACAGGTTGCCATTTGCTGCCAAATATCCGAAAGGATTCAAAATTCCATACTACAACTTCTTTTAGAACAAACATACATTGCATCCATCACACATTAATCAACTGCATCTAGGCAACACAGGTGAAGTTAGCTCATGCTCTTGCCATCACCCCTGGGCAAAGAGATGGGCTCAGCAACTCCCACCTCTCTAACTGCTGGAAGTAGCCACATCAGACACAAAAAAGATGCATAGCAGCAAAATTGTTTCTTAACTTCCGACACAAACCAGGTATCTCATCAGAATCCCTCCAGTGGGAACAGCAATTCCCAACATATGCTGAATCTACCCCCATCTTCCTGCCACCAAAGTACTCACATACTTTGACATTCAGCCCCTGGTTTCTCCTGTCAATCATTTTGAATTAAAAACAGAGTAACAAATTATTTTACAAAATATGGTCTAGACATTAAAAAAAAAATCAAATTAAGAATTTGTGGATTAAGAAAGAGTAAAAGAGAAACAGAAGAAATTCAACTCTACTAGTTGGTTTCCCTCTGGCAGTTTTCAGTCCTTTCATTTAAAGTTAGTGACTGAATGTTCCCAAGTGACATCCATTTAGTGTCTGTAACAATTATCTAATAAAAAAATCTTATAAAGTATAGCAAGATAAAGCATTTTCAGAATCACACTCAGACTTTATGATCATGACATTTGATTCATCAGATTGCAGACTTATTAGAAATAATAGTCTTGGCTTAATTTTCTGAATACCTGATTAATAGCTAGTAAGCTTAAACAGCTTAATATTTTGACATAAGCTTTGAAACAAGATACTGTTTTTCTTAAAACAAGAAAAAATAAGTTTTCAGAAGGATAAACTGTAGGTTTGGTCACTGCAATATACACCTTCAAGTATTATACACAATTATGACAATAGAGGGTTGGAACTGGATCACCTTAAGGGACACCTTCCACTAACAGCAGGTTGCTCCAAGCCCCTGTGTCCAACCTGGCCTCGAACACTGCCAGAGATGGGGCAGCCACAGCTTCTCTGGGCACCCTGTGCCAGCATCTCAGCACCCTCACAGAGAACCATATGTGAAATATAGTGAATATACAGAATATATTTGAAATCACAGCTGTGAGCAACCCACACCTAACAGCTACAGGCTCACACCTCAGCTGCAGATTTGGAGTGGCCTGGGAATGAGTTGATTTCTATTCTCAGCCGATTCATCTCCTTTTACAGATATTAAATTCTGTTGTATAATTACTAAAATGTCTTTCACAGTCTTCTTGCTCAGAGATGAGTACTCAAATCATCTGGGATTAGGCTATAATTAATTATAAACAGCCTTCCTTACAAGCACATCCACTTTTATGAACAGACCTTGGTTTTGCAATAGTTTTTTGCTCCTCACAGCTATTTGACTTATGGTTGGGCTAAACAGGCTCCAGCCAATGGTCCCTTTCCATCATAGCACAAGTGGGTCATTGCAATAGCTTAGGAAGTAGGCTGACTTCTGCATTATTCCTAGATACAAGAAACACTTAGGACATCAGAATGCTCCTGAAACTGCGCATGGCATAAGCCTCAGGCTCCTACTACTTTGTCTTCACAAAAGACATTATAATGCTACAGTCCTGAATTGTAGTTAATGTCTAGGATTACCTTTAAACTGTGCTGAAGAAAACTGAAAAAATGCTGCAGAGGGGATTTGAAACAACACCATTTTTTTTACAAGATCGGAAATCTAAGATTTATTCGCTAGCCTTATACAGTTTAAAAATGCTTCTGTAAATAGATCACAGGACTTTTGTTGGTGAGGACAGAAAGTACCTCGGAAGCAGCAATACACAGAGATCCACTAAAGCAGACAAGCATTGCTTATATAATGGCCCTCGAAAGAACCCCAAACAGAAGATTTGCTTTCACCCAGAACGTCACACAGCTGCAGAGGTTGTGCTTTTGCAGAGTCTGAAGGGGAAAGTAAGATTAAAAGCAGAGTTGGTTTTTTTTCCCCTTAATGCTCCTTAATTTTTGTCTCATCCTGCCCCCTGGTGCACAGGTCTGCTGCTTTCACACAGGCACATTTGTACAGCCCTGCATCTGTTACAGGTATTTGTGAAAAACAATGTGTATCACTTAATGTGGGAAGGATCTTATTAAATACTAAGGGGAATACAATAGTATTCTTATTGATTTATCTAAAAATTAACAAAGCATCTGCAGAATTTTCAGTGCTGCAATATATATTCTTTCTATTCCAGAGAAGTATTTAATGATCACCATTAAGTGAGAATGGATAGTAAGATATATATATGTATATTTAAACATACAACGTTCATTATTGAATAATGTTTCAGTATGAGCTCAGGATATAGCATCATCTACAGCATGAGAGAAAGATTGTTTATTTACATGTCACAGATTCCTTTCTTTTGTTTCTAGAAGGATCAACAAAGATGCTAGCACAGACCTGCTGTGCTGTAGCACCTTAGGAGCTAGAAAGGTGGTTTGGTCCTTCCTACCTGTTAGATCTAAAGCAGAATTAAAGGCTAAGATTTGTCACCCATTTAACTGCTGCAATTCTACTCTTACTTATTCCTCATTACTTAGAGGAATGATTTGCTCTAAGAGTTACAAAATAAGATACTACCAGCACAGGTAAATGCTAAGTTTAGTCTCTTCAGCATACTCAGCCATGTTTAGGTTATTTTGAGGCAACAAAGTTTGCAAAAGCTCACTATGGCCACATGAATGGTGACACCAGGGTGTGACATTGGAGTACACTCACCTCCCCATGCTCCAGGTACCACCACAGGCCTCTTGATCAACCAGAACAGTCTTAGCAGCAGCCACAGCCTTCTTCAGGTGCCTTCATCATCCACCTAAAACCCAAACAGATTCTTTATACCTTTCCTTGTTTTTCTAGTGCACAGAAGTGCACCAAAAGGAGCATGACCAGCAGATTAAAGCTCAATCCTGTTCTCACCCAGGCAACACAAATAAGAAGTAACTTGTAGAGGCATATGTAGGAACAAAACACTAAAATAGCAGAAAATATCAGAAACCAGAGCAGAAGCTTTATGTTTTCCATATGCAATGTGGCCTGGGTTCTCAGCTGATGTCAAGCAGCGTAATTTCCAAAGCTCAACTGCTTTGCACTCTCCAGGAATCCAGCCATATGTGACAGCTTTGGGCAAAGGAAGATAAGACATTTTACTACAGCTGCATGACAATTTGCCTAAACTGTGAATTTACAAGTTGCAATCAGGTTGGTCTGCCCCACACAGGCATGTGAAAACACTGCAGGCTACATGACTTACACAGTGCCCCTGCCAGATCCAAAACCTGGTAAGAAAGGGTAGGTTGCAGATGATGATGATCTGCTACCTGCAAACTAATACCAGCATGTTTAGAGAACAGTTTCTTATCACTGGGTATTACCACAGGACAAACTTTTCACTATTTACCCACCCAACCCAGATTAACTTGTGCTCAGGCATTTAGGGATTATGTGTCTTTAGGAGCCTCAGATACTGGGGTACACAGGATTGTGCTTTCAGGGCCATTTGAAGGCTTATTTAAATAACACTCTCACTACACAATTAAAACCAGTTTGGTTTCAGTGTAGTTAACCTGCCAAGGGTACAAGTAGGTGCTATACAGTCTAATTTAAAAAAGAAAGTTTTCTCCCTTTTGCCACTGAAACACAGACAGGGCTCTGGTTCACCTCCAGTGGCTGCAAGTGAGTTAGCCCTCAATTTATACAAACTTAATTCTAAATAGTTCAGATGAGGACGTGATCCTGCAGTCCTTGCTTGTGTCAAACAGGATATAGTCAGGTGAACACCACCACTGATTTTAATAGTCTAACTGTACACAGGAAATAAGTAAATAAATTAATAAATAGGAAGCTTTACAAAATGAGAAAGTATCTTATTTTTTGTGATTCTGGATTATAAAACACTACCATGCTTAACACTCTTGGCTGAGCCATCCAGTCCATAAACAGTTTCGCTGACACAGAATCCCAGGACCTTCAGTGTTGGAAGGGCCCTCTGGAGATCATCCAGTTCAATCCCCTGCCAAGGCAGGGCCACCCAGAGCAGAGCACACAGGAACATGTCCATGGTGGGTTTGGCATGGCTTGAGAGGGAGACTCCACAACCCCCTGGGCAGCCTGTGCCAGGGCTCTGACACCCTCACGTAAAGCAGCTCTTCCTCAGGTTGAGGTGAAATTTGTGTGTTAGTTTGTGGCCACTGCTCCTCAGTCCTGCTCAGGGAAAAGGCAGATTGGCAGCCAAACAGCCTGTGAGTTGGAGCAATGTCCCTGAAGCCAGCAATTGGGATAGAACAAGTCCCTCCTCTCAGGCACAGAAAGGACCCCTCAGAGACCAGCCTCAGTGTTAAGTTCTGCAGGAGCTGCAGAACAAAAGAAATACCCACTTAGCAAGCTCTAGGGCTTTCCAGACCTTCTTGTGTAACACCTCTCTTCTTACCTGCTGTGATGTTTCAGTGTTTTGTCTGAATGCCCAAACACAGAATTAGAGCCAACCAAGGGAGGCGGCAAAGGCTTTGGACATAGCTCCCAGGCGTGCTGCTTCACTTCTTGGGGTTGCTGACCAGGACAGCAGACTTCTTTCATCAAACCAAAAGATACAGCTGGGAGGAGGGGAAAAAAGAGAGGTTTTCAAGACACATGGACGTTAATGGCTTTTCTGTGCCCCAAAACTTTGTTTTTCCAACCAGCTGGTCTGTCAAATAGAAGGCATCACCTCTGCCTATCCATCTTGCATACTCACCAAGCACTTAAGGAATTAGACAAATAATTCTATTAACAGATAGGGCTGGTTGGTACTGATATGGAGAAAACTCCAGGAACAAACTTGCCAACAAAGTTTTCAAGCTGACAAGCAGGTATTCTTTATTGCGGCACCAGGAGACATGGGGGATAGCTCCTCCTAACGTGTGTCTCCCCACTGCCACACAAGCCATCCTTTTATAGCCACTGGGCATACATACATATTCATGAGGCTACATATGGATTACATAATTTTCCAGAAAGTTCCCCGCATGCGTACAGAATTGTGGTGGTGGTCTCTGAGGGTCATTTACTTCTTCCAACAATCTTCATCACTTCTGGCAGCCTTTGAAGCATGCGCAGTAGATGCTCATACCAGTTTAATTGGTTCATTAGCACCAGAGACATAATAATCCTCCTATCCTCCTACTTATCAGTTAGTTTAACTGTAGCCCATCCTAGACACCTGCGGTTCCCAGATACTCCTTATCCCTGTGTCCTATTCTTCTAGACTGTTTTTCGTAAACTATGTCACAACTATAACAATTTATCTTGCGAGAATTCTCAGTATGTTCTCTAGCTGTACTCTATTTTTTTTTCTCTATGTATCACGCACCTCAGTAATTTTCCATTGCTACTGTTACAAAGCCATCAAACTTAACATTACTTAAATCTAATTCTAAAGGTTTCTATATTCCCTTTTGTGATTTTGTGCCCCCTTGTTTCAGTACACGTGTCTTGGTTCTGGACAATTTTTGTTGATGGTCCTCCCTAAGCAGTGTGCAGCAAATTCCTTGCAAAACTTGTATCTGTTCCCATTAACTAAGACCACAAAGGACAGTTTCTATAGCCTCCCAAATTCTTTCCTTCAACCCATAAGGGGAAGAGGATAGTGAACCTAAAGTAGGAAGATATTCTGTCAATTTTGTAAGAAACCATGAAGATGTTCCAAGGGCTGGAGCAGCTCTGCTCTGGAACCAGGCTGAGAGAGCTGGGGTGGTTCAGCCTGGAGAAGGCTCCTTCAGGGGAGACTTAGAGCAGTCCAGTGCCTAAACGGGCTCCAGGAAACCTGGAGAGGGGCTTTGGACAAGGGCCTGCAGGGACAGGACAAGGGGAATGACTTTAACCTGCCAGAACAGGGGAGACTGAGATGAGCTCTTAGGCAGAAGCTCTTTCCTGTGAGGGTGCTGAGGCGCTGGCACAGGGTGCCCAGAGAAGCTGTGGCTGCCCCATCCCTGGCAGTGTTCAAGGCCAGGTTGGACACAGGCGCTTGGAGCAACCTGCTCAAGTGAAAGGTGTCCCTGCCTGTGGTAGAGGTTGGAGCTGGATGAGCTGTAAGGTCCCTTCCGACACTATGATTCTGTACATGTGAAGAATTCTAGAGAAGAGACTACTTCTGTATGTATTGTCACTAAATGGCTTCCATATAACCATCAAGTGTCTTGAGCACAGTCTCTAGAAAAGAATCTGCTTAGCAGTGTTAAAGAAAGCAGAATCCATCAATATGTGTATGCTTGTGAAAGAAAGAGTACCAGTTGCCTGGACAAAGAATAGGAAAGCAAAATCCAGTTGTGCAAACCTACCTCTATTAACTGTTCCTCTACGAGCCCCTGCAGAGCTGCCAAGCAGCTCTGGGTGGGGGCGCTGGGTTTTGGAGGAAGCCCCTTGCTTTTAACTGGCCTCTTCCTCCTTTTTTTTTGTTGTTTCCTTGGTGACAAGCTCCCAACCCCTGCATTAATGCCCTCCTCCTTTTCTGTCCGAGCGGCCCCTGCACAGTTTGGGCCTGCAGCCACCAGCCCAGCCCCTCTCGGCCTCCCTGGCGTCTCTTCGTGTCGTCTGCCTCCCTCCGCCCACCAACCCGCTGCAGCAGGGCACGGCGTGCACAGCCCGGTCCACGCTCACCTCAAGAGACGAGCGGAGGCAGCTGAGACACCCGGAGCTCCGCGCTGCCGCCCGCCCAGCCCAGCTCCGCCCGGCTGCCACCACAGCGGCCTCGCCTCACCCTGGGCCCCTGATCTCAGCGCGCGCGCGCCTTCCCGCGCAAACTGCCACAGCGCCCTGCCCCCCTCCCGCCTTCTTCCCGTCATGGCGGTGCCGGCCCGCAGCGCCTCACCGCGGCAAAGGGCCGGTGATGGACGTCGATGGGCTCGGGTGTGCCGGTGTCCGCGCCGCGGCTCAGACACGGTTTCCTTCTAGAAGTTCCTGTACAGAGACAGAATCTGCCTTGTGTGCACCTGCTTCTTAATCTTTGATACATTTAGCACGTAAGCTCCACAAAGGGTCATTAAATCCCCTGATTTTATATTTAGAAACCCACAGAACTTATCCCAAACCCACAACCATCCACGTTTTACCTGAAGCACTGGGAAGCCCATCACCCCTTTCTCCAGCCATAAATACACCTATGTGACTTGCCAAAAGTTCACCTGGAACACCATAGACCCACATGAATATCATCGCGGGACTCGCCTTCTTCCCACCAGGAATGTCTCTTCTGCTGCTGCTGTTGGGTACATTCCTCAGTCATTTCCACAAGTTCTATTACATGAAAACCTGGCCTTTTATTAAAGTAATGAGGTAACTTTTAAACCTGCATTTGCTTATAAAAAATACATCTTCTTAGGAAGTTGTTTATATGCCAAGGAGTGATACCATTATTCCTGTGACTTCTCCAAGAGAAAAACTATAATGTTATTTGTGCTACAGCAGTGATTCTGTCCCCTTAACAGTGTCTGACTTTGCTGGGCACAGTAAATTCATGAAACTTCAGTGACTTCCTGGCTCTAAGAGGTCACACTTTAAACAATACATGGAGAAAACCCTGGAGTGTTAATATTGCATGCACATGCACCAGAAGGGATTATTCTCACCATGCATGAATTGGACTACACACTCTTGCTACTCGTACTGAAAGTCCTCAGTGTAATACCACAGCTTGCAGGACTGGAGGCGGAATTACATCCTCTTCCAAATCCTGCAGATTGAGTGCTCCCTCCCACCCATTCCACTGTACTGCTGCCAAAGTTCACTCTCACTGGTATTGTCATTTCTAGTTTGAAAATGCTTTCAGATTGCAAGAGGCTGCAGTGGAAAAAAAAAAAATCACTGACATGAATTTGGCATGCTTCTCTGTGAGCAGCAGAGGGAAACTGCCTGCATTGCAGCATGACAGTCAGCATCCCCCATGGGTAAGAGCATTTGTTTCCCTCATCTGAGAGCAGCACACAAAATAGCTGCGCCAAGAGCCATTGTTCACTCTCCTATCAGTGGTCAGCAACAGGGGAAAAGGTGGACTTGGTGAAATCTAGCATGCTGAGCTTGAATCAGCCAGGATGGAGAAGACCTTTAAGATCATCAAGTCAAACTGTTACCAAGGCCACCACTAACCCATGTCACAGCTACCAGAATTTCCACAGAACAAATAATACGCAGGGTCTGGAGCATTTCTGCAGCAAACTCCTGACCTGCAAGTCCAGGTGATTTGAAAGCAGTGCCCTTACAAGCAGTTTCCAGTCTGATGAAGCCACTTTAAAATCATAGAATCATAGAGTGGTTTGGGTTGGAAAGAACCCTAAGATCATCCAGTTCCAACCCGCCTGCCATGGGCAAGGACACCTCACACTAAACCATGTCACCCAAGGCTCTGTCCAACCTGGCCTTGAACACTGCCAGGGATGAAGCATTCACAGCTTCCCTGGGTAACCCATTCCAGTGTCTCACCACCCTCACAGTAAAGAATTTCTTCCTTATATCCAATCTAAACTTCCCCTGTTTCAGTTTTAACCCGTTACCCCTTGTCCTTTCACTACAGTCCCTAATGAATAGTCCCTCCCCAGCATCCCTATAGCTGCCCTTCAGATACTGGGAGGCTTCTATGAGGTCTCCACGCAGCCTTCTCTTCTCCAGGCTGAACAGCCCCAACTTTCTCAGCCTGTCTTCATACAGGAGGTGCTCCAGTCCCCTCATCATCCTCGTGTCCTCCTCTGGACTTGTTCCAACAGTTCCATGTCCTTTTTATGTTGAGGACACCAGAACTGCACACAATACTCCAGGTGAGGTCTCACAAGAGCAGAGCAGCGGGGCAGGATCACCTCCTTCGACCTGCTGGTCACGCTCTTTTTGATGCAGCCCAGGATACAGTTGGCTTTCTGGCTGCGAGCGCACACTGAAGCCGGCTCATGTTAAATTTTTCATCAAACAGCACCCCCAAAAAATCTGTTATGCTTGTCTCTACTGAGAACAGTTTTTGGCATATCTTAAAAACATTGTAGAGTGGTTCTCAGTTTTGAGAAGCTTCGTTTCTTCTTCTTATGCTGAAGATGTTTGAGCTTCCATAGAAGGACTAATCAAACCAAAAGAATACTCTGTCATAGACTGTGTGTGGACCAGATGTGCTGCTGTTGATGTTACCAAGAGATTTTTCCCCCAGTGGGTTCATAGGAACAGGAAGAGGCCATATGGTAGTAAAGATAATTTACATAGCACCTTTTATCACCGAATATCACAAAGCACCTTGCAAGTCACCTACTGTTCAGGAAGAATTTCACTCGGAACTGAAATGCACATACCTTTAGGGTAAAACTTGGCAAACACATAATAGACACAGTAATGCTATGAAACAAGTAACTTGCTGTAAAGAATAAAGCCATAGCAAACTGAATCCTGAGAGGAAGATGGGCAGACAAATTCTATCTATAAATCAGTTGCAATTGGCACAGTTTCCCCCTATATGCAAAGCAATACTTTTTTAAAATTAGTATCTCCTTTTTAGTAAGTGCAACCCTGTTAAAATGATCTGCAAATATAGACACTGAAAGTGGAACACAAGACCAAGTGGGCAACTTCTTATTAGTTCTGTAGACATTTACTGTACATATGCACAGTAAATGTGCATCCATCACCTTAATCTCAATGTCCCAGAAGGTAATGTGGCCAAGAAAAGTTGTTCTAGTTTTTTTATACTTGTAACTAGGAGGTAGTTTAGGAGGCTCTAGGCAGTTTCTGATTCTGTCACAAATATCACTACAGAAGTCTCAATAACCAAGAAAAAGGAGGTGTTTAAAATACAATAACATTTTCCTTCTATCCATCTTGGGGAAAATGAACAGTAGGAGAAAGAACACATGATAAAGTGCGATCTGCATCAGAGGCAGTAAAGAAAACAGTACTGTCTTTTCAAATCAACATAAAATTCCTTTACTGAGGTCTAGTATTTAAAAATGTTCCCTTCTTTGGTTACCATTCTACCACTTCCAGACTGATGCTTTCAGCCCAGAATCTGTCTAATCTCCAGTAGGTACATTCGTATTATGCTTAAGTGCTGTAAGAAGGCAATTCTAAATGCTGCTCAACAAATGAAATGAATATTAAGTAGACAGACACCATGATTTAATTTATGTTCTATATTTATAGAGCTCCCAGAAGAACTAACTACAAAATCCTTCACCGCACTTCAAATGAACCTGGAAATGTAGTTTATGGAAAGAGACTCTGGAGACAAGGATTTTTGAAGAACCTGGAAAGTTCAGCTCCTACCTTTTGCTTTTCTGTTCTCAGAATTGCTGTCCTGTCCATGCACAGTAACTCAGGCCTGGTCACACAGTCATAGCAGTCTTAGCACCACGTTTGCCCTTGCAACCTAGCTGCAGTGCTCCTTCCTATCCCAGAAAAGAGAAAGGTGTGAAGACAACATTACTGACTCTGTAATAAATGAGGTAACAAGTAAGACATGTAATAAGTGACCAGCAGGTCTTATCTTCATCCCAGCACTGCAACTTGTATAACCAAGAGCACAACATTTTCAGCACAGCTATGGGACAGCTGAAAAACTTCTGGGTATTAAACTAGCTGCCTAGGAGGAAAGGGGTTTCTTGGAGCTGTTCAAACCCTTAAAGTTGACTATGACAAGACAGAGCATCAGGATATTCCTGCTCACTCCAAAGGAGTAACAGCAGAGGTTGTACAGCAGACACATCAACACGTGGCTGCCTTGAAAATCATGGATTAGAAAAGACACCAAAGGTTTCCTTGACTCAGATGTCCAAGGGGGAGCAGCACAGCCATGTACTGAAGTTCTGTACTCTTACCCCAGTATGGACCTGATAAGCATTCCTGGGAAGTGTGCAGGAGCAGTATCACTCCACAATGATGATGCCCATTTCCATGGTGGTGTTTTGTTCTGCCTCCTGATGTACTTACAATCAGAGGTGCAGAACAGGATGAATCCAATGCGCTCAACCCCCAGGAGCAATTTGTTTTTTTCATTTTTAAAGTAAGAGTCATAGGCACTAAAAGGCTGTGAAATTACTATTATTAAACTACCTTTAAATATGTTTAATGGCACCACATGCTGACTCAGAAATTCCTTTCCTCCAAGCCTATAGAAAGCGGAGGGCTTAATTGTGAATGCTTTATTATTGTGTTGATAAATGTACCATAGCATTCATGCCCTTTCAGAAAAAAATTCACACAGGCCCTTTTTCACTCAGTGTCTTAAAGATAAAACTTCAATAAATCTCCTTAGAAGAGCAATCTGAGCTTCTGTAATAAAAATAATAATAAAACTAGCACTTACCTTACTTTAGATCTTCAAAGTGCTGTTTGGATATTAAGCAATTTGTCCCTGTTGCCAAGGATTTTAGTTTGCATTGGACAGCAAGTAGCAGCAGGTATCTTCCCACCTCCCTTTCCCCTGTCTCCATTAGGGTTTTTTCTCCTTCCTGTTCTATTACACATATGCTAGATTGGCTTCCCTGTACATGGGAATTCCAGACATCTCTTCCTGATGCTACTGAATGGTTTGAATTTGCTTTTACCAGCCAGGGGAACCCATCAGACATCTATTATTTCTAAGATTTCTCAGGAATGGAAAGGAGAGTCAACTTTCTTCTAAAGCCTGTTCTCTTGCCGTAACACTGAGATGCCATGAGTATGTTTTACAAGGAAATATCCCCTTCTTTCTAGCTCCAATGCCCTTATTTTCTACCAAAACTAGTGAAACCAGGGGGAGTAGAACAGTATTTATGCTTACACAAATACAAGGATAAATACTATTGCCCTCAGTTTGTATAAAGTGACAATTCCTGCTGTTTATAGGAGACCACCTCCTTTTCAGGTAGCAGGAAGTGCAGGGAAAAGAGTCAGCGCTGCTTTACAAACTGGGGACCACTGTACAATAACCGAGATTTGCAGAGCCAGAGTCTGTCAAGGCAGCAATGCCAGAAAGCAGTTGTACTTCAGATGTATTGCGCTCCCACCCCACCCAGAACCTCAGAAGCTGGTACAGTCCTGGCTCCTCTTTGCAGCACCTCTTTCTGTACGTGTTCAGAAGTGTAAAGTGAACCACATCCTTGGAATTTCAAATTATACCCCAAGGAGACAGAGGAGTTTGCAGATGTAACCAGCATGAATTCAGTACATTAATTCTGCAGGCAGAAGAGCGTCCAATGTCCAAGTGCATTACAGCCATTTATCTTTTGCTTATCCAGGAAGATTTCTATAAGCTTGTGAGGGGAACATTGTCAATAAACATGAAAATAAAACCACCACAACCTTGGCTTGAGGAACGTTTCCCAAAGGTAAGGATTACCATCACCCAGTGAAGCAATCCCATTTCCAGATGGTACCAGCATAGAGGCATGGCATATCCACAGCAGCTATGACTGAGCTGTGAACCTTGTGTTGCTTCATTGTTTTCTCTCCCTGTCTCATAGAATCACATCATCAACCAGGTCGGGGAAAGACTTTTAAGATCAAGTCTAACCTGAAAGTGAGAAGCATAATAGTACACATCCTGAAAGGGCTCTGCCACATGCTTGGCTCCCCCTGCAGAAGCGGTTCTGACAGGTTGTGTTAAAACCCAGCCCCCTGTTTGCAAGACCAATACAAATCAGTAGATGCAGAGGAAACAGCTGCTGCACAGTGATCATTAAGGTCCTTTCCAACCCTAACTATTCTATGATTCTATGATCTGACCCTTTGCCAGTACCAGTAATGAGTGCTCCAAGAAGATGCAGACAGGATCATAGATCGTACTAGATAGAGTCACAGAATGGTTTGGATTGGAAGATGTCAATTACAGGAATTAGGTATGTATTATTGGTAGAGAAGAATTGATACAGCTGAAGCAAAACCATGAGATTTTTTGGGTCTGAAAGCATGAAGCAGAATTGTTTCTCTCTGATGGTACACAGCAAAGATTTCTGAGCTGATTTATTACATAGCTTATGAAAGATCAACACATGTACAGAGAACAAATCACTGTTTTCTTTTCTTCTTCTCAGAACCATAACTGAAGTGGAGGCTGAGACGGAAAGGAAACTGACTCAGTTTTCAAGGGCAGGTCTCTTGCTACTTAACGCCGGAATTGGCTGAGTTTTCTGTTACGTTCTATGCTGCCATCATCTGGCTCTTTTCAGAAAAACTGACATTTTCCAAATCTCTGTTACCTCCCTCCAGGCCTGTTTTCCTCTGGGTAGGAAGTTTCAGTGATTCCTGGGAAGGTATTTCACAGCAAGGATTTGCACTTGTCCAAACAGCAAGCTTCTCTCCAGCTACCACAATCCCTTTTGGCTAGGCATCCAGCTCCCTTTGCCTAACTGAGCACTCAGGACAGAGGGAGGATGTTGATTTATGTGTCTTTTCACACTCCAACCTACTAGTCTGATTCTAGCTCTTCTCAGTCATCCAGCAGAGGTTCCTTGCTAGCAAGGCAGTTACTTTTAGCATGCAAGCCACCGGGGTCCTGACCCTGTCCTCCTAATTTAGGGAACACAGACACCTGGTCATGGGAAACACCTTTCTTCCTACAGTAAAATGGGTGTTCCCAGCTCTTCCAGTGATTAATTTCAATACAAACAGATCGTTTACTTACTCTGAGGCAAATACTATCTGCTGCCTGACAGGGCAGTGATAAAAGGTGAGAGAATCTTTCCAACCAGCTTACACTGACCCAAGGCCACACTGCTTCCAAGAGATACAACCTTCTCCTCCTTCCCATTCGACTAGCAACCAGAATACTGTGTAAGGCTTCAGAAACATTGCTCTGCCTAAAAATTGGATTTCTGATGGCTAATAAAGCTCTCGGTGAACCATGAAAGCAGCGATGCTAATGCAGATGTGAGGGAGAATGATACGTACAATAAACTTGGCATTGTCTTTAGGCTGCAGCACACCTAAAGAAAGTCTTTTATTTTTTTTTTGCCTTTCCAATCATAGGAGGGGGAAGGAATTGTTCCTCAGCTCCATCTAAACCTCCCCTGGTGCAGCTTGAGGCTGTTTCCTCTTGTCCCACCCCTTGTTCCTTGGGAGCAGAGCCCAGCCCCTCCTGGCTCCATCCTCCTGTCAGGCAGTTGTAGGGAGCGATCAGGTCCCCCCTGAGCCTTCTCTTCTCCAGACTGAACCCCCCAGGTCCCTCAGCCGCTCCCCATCACATTTGTGCTCCAGGCCCTGCACCAGCTCCATTGCCCTTCTCTGGGAAATACTGGGTATTTTGTTTACTCCCTGTTCTTCCCAGGAGCCCTCTGGTCTCTGCACATGCCAGACTAAAGTGTACTGAGCAAAACATACCCAGCTTCTTTGTCTCCCTGCCAAAGGATTCACCTAACCTGTTATGTAGGTGGGAAGAACAGGAAAGCAGGGCTGCTTGCCTCTCTGCTGGCCAGCCACAGCCCAGTCCCAGTGCAGAACAAGAAGACACCACACAGAACACTTCCGTTGTACAGGAACTGCAAACAGGCAAAGAGAGCACATCAATCAGTGTGCACTTCTTGACAGGATACTAACTGATCACCACAGGGAGACAACAGCATGGGGTTACTGGGAGACATTCCAATATGCTTCCCTTCATTCCTTTTCCTGAACCATTGCCCAGGAGATGTAGGTAAGATAAGCCTCTGCTGGACATGTCCCTGTTTTTCGCAATAGGGAACTACTGCATCCAAGGGAGGCTTTGGGGCCTGTAGTTTAGAAATGACAAATCTTGGAGCAAAGCAGGAAAAAAGGGCATATTTAAACAGGGACTGTAAGGGCAAACCTAAAGGGCAAAAAGGAGAAGGGAGACTTGGTCTTAGAAACTTTAAGAGCAGCTGCTTGGATTTAATCCCCACAGCTCAACCTTGAGAAAATCTGCAGAATCAAAACTGAAATTAGAGAGACCCTTCCTTAATGACTAAAGTAAAACCATGGCTAATACTGAATATGCAGAAATGACCATGCATTCTGCCCGAGCAGTAACTGCAAATGACAGCGTGCTGAAGTTTACAGAGCCTCTGTTTGCTGCTTAGTTTTTATTGACAGAACAGAGGTGGGACAAAGAAGACGGAGGATGTGACAGCTGAATTAAAGCTCCATTGGGAATTCAAATCTGAATTGGATATGAATGAATGCACGCAGGTCTTGTGCTTCTCCTAAAGACCTCCACTGACCTGAATACGAGCTGAATGCCTCCCTCATGCATCCTGGCAGAAATGGACTGAGACTTCCAGACCCATTTAGGAACTAGCAGAAATGGACCTGGGCTTCCAAGGCTTGAAAGAAATCCCAATCCTATAGAAGCAACACTGAAAACACACGCATACCTCTGTAAAAATACCCCTGTCAGCATGGTTAAACATTGTAGGCTTGAGAATACCTTGCATACAGTTGTTTGTAGAGGAAATGCAGACAAGTCCTTTATTGGCCCTGTATTGTACCACTGGCATTTATTTCTTATGCAGCCAGTTTTCCTAGCCTTGACCTGCTTAACTTTAGAGCAAGAAGCAGCAAATCATATAGAAATATGTGGTGAGTGTTCCTCTCTTGTGGATTAAACCAACCAAAGAATGCTTCATTTCATTTTCCAAGCAGGCTTTCTTATGTTTCTGGAGAGTGCTGATGCCCTGTGATGTCTGAGCAAGACAGCATTAGGACCATAGACACGGTACTCCTCCTTGCTTTCTTGATAAAAGAATAATGAACTCAGTGGTGCAGAAGCAACACAACATGCCTGTATGAAGGCGACCTCAAAGCCCACTCAGCTACTTCACTGGTGTGCATTAAAATTAATGAGTTTCTGCTACAAAAAGAAAGAGGTAAGAGGTGTCCTTAGGTGGAAAGGAGATCTCTGATCTTGTGTTATAGCACAGCCACTGAGCGCCACAGAATCCTGCACTGCTTAGTCTCAAATACATTTCTTTTTTAACAGGGGAAGCAAGGACAGGCTGAATACACTTACTATATCTATTGAAAGATGGGATAGGAGAACTTCTCATTTGCATCTTAAGCACCTTCCCATTAGTAAAGACTGGACTGCCATTAAGACTCTTTTTTTTCTCCCCTTTTATATAGCTAATAGAGCAAAAAATTGGCAATATTGAATGCCAGGCAGCACCTGAGGCTGCTAACTCAGCCAATACAGCCACAGTGCTTAATGGATCTCAATTACAGAGCCCTTATTTTTTGTGCATGGGAACATCTATCTGGAGGTCAGCACATTTCATTAATATTTTTGATTAACGCATCCTTCACAGTGGTTTGGAGCTTTTAATGCTCCCTGGTTAATGAAGCAACATCCTGAAGCAGCCATTAGCTTGGGACATAATACGCATTCAAAATTGCTGTTTCATTAAGACAGCTCACTTTTACCCCAGATTCTTCAAGGCTTCATCCAACTGCAAAGAAGAGTTAGTAACACCCTGTGACACTAACATCACTTTGAAGCTCCTGTCCTGCCTAAGTGTTCCAGCGAGGAACAAAAGTAACAAGCATGTTTCACATCTGAAAAGCACGTCAAGTATTTTATGAGCTCTGCTCAAGCCGTTTGCTTGGATTGAACTTCTAACTGGAAGACACTTTACCACAGACTACCTGAATTCCACAGAAGAATTGCCTAAAATCTTAAGGAAGGTCACTTCCTATTTTTAGGTGCTAGAGACACATCAATCTCAGATACATCAGTGATTGATAGCTTTGGCCATAGAATAAAATTACAAGTAAAAGTCAGAAAAGCAAGATCACCTCAAAACTGCTCTGAACTATCCCATATGCTCCAAATATTCTCTTATTGGCGAGATCTGATCTCAGACTACTCAGATTTGACATTTATGCACTTTCTGTCCCAGAATTCAGTGTAGCCTACAGAGAACTCAGAGAAGGGGGGAAAGAAGTTCAGTCTGCTAATGTATGGAGCTTTCCAAATGTAATGTGCCTGTGATTTATGCCTAAAAATCTTTGCCATGTCACTGGTGCTGAACTTACTATTTCTACAATATACCTTCCTCAGTCTGCAGACTGTTTCTGGTCTAGTTTAATCAAGTTCAGCCTATTAAAAGTATGACATTATTTTGGGCAGTTATTTTGCTTATCTCATTAAACCCAGAAATTTGCTATACTGCCATGCCATTAAATCCCAGACAGTCGAGGAGCATTCAATTAGGACTGTATTATTCATCATTACTTACATTTAGTTTTCCTTTAGTCTCAGTACCTTCAATCTTTCTCAAAATACATACCACACAAAGAAACATGGCATCTGAAGGTCAGCCTCTATCACTTCTTTTAGGGAAAGAGATTTTTGGGAAGGCAGGAAAGAAAATGGAAATGAAAATGTGTCCCAGAAGCCTCCAGAAACATTATTTAAATAAATAACCTAAATACAGTTGATTCCAGCTTCTCCAGTTAAGGCAAAATAGAACCCCAGCACTGAGCAATCTGCCACGTATTCAATAAAACCTCAGACTGGGCTCTGGCAAGGAACTGATTTCTCTCTTCCTTCCCTCCTAATATAAAGAAAGTTCAATTGGATGTGTGGAAACATAATTAAGAGACATTTCCACAATGGAAATGAAGCTATAAACACTGGTACTATATGAAGACAAAAGTCTCAATATAAAGTAAAGACAAAATGGTCTGTGGTCCTTAACGTATATCTATGCTAGAGAGCAGTTCAGCTGAGAAACACATGGGTGTATTGGTGGATGATGAGTTGACCATGAGCCGGCCCTTGAGCCAGGAGGGACAAGAGTGCCCGGGGCTGCATCAGGAGGAGTGCAGCAGCAGGTCAAGGGAGGTGATTCCTCCCCCTCTACTGACCCTGGTGAGGCCACAACTGGAGCACTGTGCCCAGTGCTGGGCTCCTCAGTATGAGAAAGATAATGAGATGCTTGAGAGGGGCCAGTGGAGGCCACAGGGATGCTCAGGGGTCTGGAACGCCTCTCTTATGGGGCCTGGTTATTCTGGAGAAGAGCAGCCTGAGAGGGGGTCTCATCAATGCAGATCAATAGCTCAAAGACGGGTGCCAGGGGGATGGTGAGAGAGGTGCCAGGGAGATGGACAGCAGAGAGTAGTCCTTATTTACAGTTCATAATCTTGTCAGCAGGAGTCACCTCTGGGAAATGGGCTGCACTGATTGCAGCTCCCATCAGCCAGCACATGCACCATGGACTTGGACCCAGCTTGCCACACAGCTGGTATTCCTGTGCTAACCAATGCCTGTGACAACCTACCTTTAATTAGAGCACAAAACACAGAACAAGATCCCAGCTGGCTTTTGAGTATTTCCACATCGCCAAGAGATCCCACGTAGAATCATAAAATGGTTGGGGTTGGAAAGGACCTTAAGATCATGCAATTCCAGCCCCCTGCTTCAGGCAGCGACACCTCACACTAGACCATGTCACCCAAGGCTTTGTCCAACCTGGCCTTGAACACCACCAGGGATGGAACATTCACCCCTTCCTTGGGCAACCCATTCCAGTGCCTCACCACCCTCAACATCACCAAACTGGAAAGAAGTAAAAAGACAGTGGCTTTCTGGGATAGTTCAGAGGTTTACAGCCACATTCTCTAACCCCTGAAACTTCCACTGCAAGTGGCAATGGTCCTCCACATTTCTGACCAGTTCACAATTTTCCTGCTTCCTTAACTCTCTGTTCCTGACCCATCTATTTAGAGAAGCAACTTTTCCAGACTTTCAATTGTCTAACATACAAGGGGTGATGGGTTTAAACTAAAAGAGGGAGATTAATGCTGGATGTGAGGAGGAAATTTTTTACAGCGGGGGTGGTGAAATGCTGTCACAGGTTGTCCAGAGAGGTGGTGGATGCCCCATCCCTGGAGACACTCAAGGCCAGATTATGGTTCTGTGCAACCTGATCTGGTTGAAGGTGTCCCTGCTCATTGCAGAGAGTTGGACTAAATGTGCTTTGAATGTCCATCCAACCCAAACCATTCTGTGCTTCTGTAATACTCTTATAGTATCTCTAAGAAAATTCAGCATTCCTGATCACAGCAGTTCAGTTTTAGAATGGATTTGCTGTGATTTTTCCTGGAGACTCTCAACAGACCTATTTCACTTACAAGAGTTCATGACATTTATGCTTATAATGCTTTGTAAAAAGCAACGTTATCACCTGCCTAGCATTATCTGTCCAGAAATTACAGTAAATCACCACAACCTTTACCTCACCCACTAATTCAGTTAGGCTACTTCTAGAACAAAGGGCCACAATAAATGCCAAAGCAAGTGCTACACCCGCTTATAAATCACACAGCCCCAATTCCCTTATTTAACAAGTTAAATATTTACTAGATTATAGCCAGCAAACAACACATTAGGTCCCTTAGACAACCACTGATTTCTTAGAGGTAAAGCCTGTAGCAAGTATTTCTTAGCCCCACCATGGACGTTTCTAAAATATCTTTTTCCATCTGCTTTCCTTGAACTCCCAAAAGAAAGTTAAACTTCACCTGGATGGATATGTGCATTCCCAAAGCACAATAACACAGCATCAACAGGATTTAGCATCTCAGACTGGTTTTCTTCCAGTCCTTTTACCTTGTCGCCGATTGCAAAGGCATCGTGGTAAATGTGACATCGAAATGCAGTCCCGTGCTTTGGTTTCTGAACGTCAAAGACAAAGAAGGTAAGATTTCTATTTCTTCACATCTATTTAGGCTGCACACCACTCTTCTTAAGAAATATGGCTACCAAAATCTGTCTTTCCATAGTATTTTGATCCTGCTCTTCATTCTGTTTTTCTTACTAAATAAAATCCTGGTTTATGCTTCCCCAGTTATCTGGATCTGGATTATGAGGTCTTGTGTTTTCAGATGTGGGAGGAGAGGACTGAGAAATATGTGTGTTATTCCATCATACCTTTAATGCATTTATGCAAGTTCACAATGGATGAGTAGAACTCATCCATTTCAAAGGTAGAACTACACAAATCTTGAAATATCTGTGTGACTGCTCTTGGGAGACGGGGAAAACAGGACAGAAAGACAGGGCAAGGAAAAAGGAGAAGGGGATGCTGCAATGTAGTTAAATTTAATCCAAGTGTCCTAAACATTCTTCTGTGACATTAAAACATATTAGAGAGCGATTTTGAACACAGAAGAAACACTGTGGTCAGGGTGCTGATTTGGCTAACAGCAAAGCAGCCATGCATAGCAGGAATCACAGCTCACATAGAGATATACAGATTGGGTGGTTTGGCTTTTATTTAAACCACAACTCTTACCGCCAGAACTAGGACTATTTTAATGACAATCTAATTAGCCACATCTGGTTAAACCATTCTGTTTGCTCAGGAAAGGCATCAAAAAGCATTGTGAGGAGAGCCATCACTGAGAAGTATAAACAGAGACAGCTTTTGCCTTGCTCTGTGGATCCTCCTGGGGTAATGGGTGGACTTGATGATCTCAAAGGTCTTTTCCAACCTGGTTGATTCTATGATTCTTTGGACACCAGAACTATGTGCAGCACTGGATTGCCTTAAACATGCCCCACACTGAGTTTTCTGCTGGTTTATGTGATGATTCCATATTCGGAGCTGTGTTCTCATGAAGCTCATGTTTGACCGAACTTCTGAGTCCTGAACATCCCTAAATGATAACTCCTGCTCAGCTTGCCTCACTCTCAGCATAGGTTATTTCACCTCTGGCACCTTAATCTTCACTTTAAGTTGCTGAAAACAATTTCTATTTTTCCAGTGTTCCCTGTTCCATTTTTCAACTCCGTACTTTTTCTATAGACTTCACCTGCACAGATGAGGCTTCTTTTGAATGCAGGGGCCTGCTTTCTGCATGGCTCTTTACCTCTCTCTCGCATCCTGTTTTAATAGCGATGCTCAGAAGATTCATTTCAGATTGAACTCTCAGAGAAGGGAATGAACCACAGCCTTTTTTCCCTGCTTTGTGGTAAATTCCAACCCTGAACATCCATAGCTTGGGACTGGTGTTGGTAGAGGCTTTAGAGAAATAAGCAGATGAATTAAGAACTGGTTTAGAAATTACCAAGTTTTTCCCATGCTTTTTAATTTCTCACTCATTTAACTGTAACTGGTTGTGTTCATGTTTTCATCTAAATGATACACATAACTTACGGGGTTTTTCTTTTAATGTGCTTAGTTATAAATCAAACTGTTCCCATGCAGATTGCCACAGATTATTGTTTCTACCTGTAGAATCCCAGTTCCACTCCCAATCAACACAATCATGCACATAACATAACAAGTGAAATTAGTACATCCAGGGAGAACTGGTGAATGGACACAAAGACGAGAAAGGACAATCAAAGCTGATGAACACGGTGTGAATTACTAGGACACTTCGCTGGGCTCTGAATTAGCTGTAGGTGTGTTTACATGGCTCAGGAAGCAGACATCAGCATTATCTTGGGTAAGTGAAGAGGTAACTGTGTACACAGCAGTAGCCAAAATGCAAAGATTTATAAAGGCTGAAAGTGTGAAGAACAGAATGTTGGAATTTCTAGAAAGCATTAGCACAAATTTATCCAGAATACCATAAGCAGTGATTTCTGCATCCATTGAAAGGATTTTTGAGAATTAGAACAGACTTTGGGAAGGGTAAAAATAATACCTGAAAACCAGGGAATACTAAAATCACTTATTTTAGGTACAGTCCAGAATGCAGCACAGTAAGGAAGATCAAACTGTCCATCTCTGTTCAAAAAGGAAGTGGCACCTCATAAAAGGTGGAAAATCAACATAATCCTTTTACACTCACTGTGTAGTCAAACTATGGAACCCGTTGCCACAAGAGAGTGTTGAAATTCATGATTCAATATTAAGGAAGGGATCAAGTAATGACTTCCAGAATTTTCAAGTATAATTCAGAGATCAACTTTGGAAAAAAGTTATTTCAAAGTTTCCAAATTCAAGCCAAATTTTGCCAGAGATAGGTAAGGGATCCATGAGGGTAAAGGGAAGGACAGACTGATTATTCTTTGTATCAGTACTAGGCTGTGCAGTGTTGGGAAAGGGATAATAGACATAGACGCATCTTGATTCTCTTCCAGGATGGCACTTCAGTTCTCCTAGAATAGACAGTAGCCAACAGTCCAATAAACTCTCCTGAATGCTCCTATTAAGGGGGATGAAGAATGGAGATTAAAATGAAAATGCACCATAAATGCTTCTGGTCATGTTAAAATGTTGATTTAATATATTTTCAAAGTGTGTGGACGCATTAGACTTGTTCTGACCTGCGTTGTTGTGGGGTAATTTTTTGTACAAAGAATCAAGAGCATTGCTTTGCTGAGAGGAAAACCAGCACAGCAGAAAGAGGTTCTGTAGTCAGCAGAGGGAGTCAGCCACTTCCAGAAAGCTATTCAGCTATGTTACACGTGGCCAAAGTGCCCTCTGGAGATACCCCACTCCGCTGATCACAGAGGGAATCTGACACCTACCCTATATCTATAGTGAGACATGGACATGGAATTGGTGCAACAACGTTCTCCAGCTAACTTAATGTTGGTGTGTAATCTGTTAACTCTCAGTATGGCTCTCTAAACACAGCTTCCTGTGAGAG